CAAATATAGTACCATTCAAAAGTTTGGGATCAGTAAGTTTCTTTAGCACAAAATCAGCATATCAGAATGATTTCTGAAGCATCATTTGACACTGAAGACTGGAGTATTGGCTGATGAAAATTAAACTTTGCCATAACAGAAATACATCACATTTTAAATTATAAAATTAAATTAAAAAATAAAACACCGGTTACGTCACTTGCCCACCGCAGCACCGCTCGCCACCATTGTTTAGATTTTTTTTATAGTAATATAAATAATTTAGGCCTAGTTCAGTTAGAGAACAGACACTACAATTAAAAACTGAACGTGGCTGCTCAATGCAGCATGCCGAACAACAGTCGCGGATTTCATTTATCACGTGAGGAGAGTCAAGCTGAGTGACTAGAAGAGTGGGGTGAGACAGACAAGACGATAGCGCATGATTTCGAAATGCAAAAGTGCCTGTTTGGCAATATTTTGGATTTTGTAAAGCCTGTTGACTTTTGCCGTTTATCTAAGGTGAAATTGGAAGTTTTAAAAAAAGTTTCTTACTTAATTGGTTCCACAGTGTTTGCGGATTTTACTTTATTTAAACTTTGTGTAATTTATTTATTTTTATTTTACATCAAGGTGTATGCCGTGTCTCCAAGCTTTCTTATTCATTTTGCTATGTTCTACATTTCTTATTTATTTGGTTTTGTTTACTTACACAAAGTTTAAATAAGTATACAAAACTGAGAATAAGTTATTTGTTATTTTATATTAGGCATAGCCTAGGCTATAGCATGGTGTATTTTTATTCGTTTTGTTAATAAAAGTTCTATTATTTATATATAGGCTAAGTGAGTTTGACGTTGTATTTTGTTGTTGTTTGAATGTCATTGCATTCAAGCAATTGACGCTGAATTGCCGCTAATTCGAAAGTGAAAGTAAAATGTGCACGCCGCTTTTACAAGCAATTTAAAAGTGAAGGAAAGTGAGGAAAAGAGGGAAAACTCCCCCCACCCCCCCACGATGATAGCTGTATTACCGGTGTTGCCACACGTCGGTGGGAAAATTTCCCCACCGTCACAACTCTACTTCTTTGAAAATCGAAAATCAAATTAGCAAACAAAAAACTTAAAAGTGAAGTGACGTGACATGTGGCCAAGTATGGTGACCCATACTCGGAATTAGTGCTCTGCATTTACCCATCCAAAGTGCACACACACAGCTAGGGCTGGGTATCGAGTTCGATACTTTTTAGGCACCGACCGAATTGCCTCGATACCATCGAGTATCGAAAAACGTCTTGTCGTTCGGTACCAAATTTCGATACCTAAGGGGTTAATCTCATCAGTGTCAGTGAGCCAATAAGCCTGCAGCACTTGCCGGTGTGTTCGACTAGAAGAGGTGCGGCGCAGATCGATCATCCGCGAGAGATCATATGCAGATGTCCGTTCATACTAACGTTACACGACCGAATGCGCGTGTTATGTGACCATTCATGCAAACTGTAGCATCATGCTACATAAGACAATAAATCAGATTTATATTCCGCTTTTACTCAAAACTCACTTTAAACCACCATCGAGTGTTTGTAATAACTTCCGATTGCCGTCTAACAGGGCCGGATTTACACATTGCTCAAGACATTGAGCAAATAAATATAACAAACAATAGGGTAAAAAAAAAAGTATCATTCAGGAACCGGTATCGAAGTCAAGGTATCATATCGAAAAATTTTGAACGATACCCAGCCCTACACACAGCAGTGAACACACACACACCGTGAACACACACCCGGAGCAGTGGGCAGTCATTTATGCTGCGGTGCCTGGGGGGGGGCAGTTGGGGGTTCGGTGCCTTGCTCAAGGGCACCTCAGTCGTGGTATTGACACAACCTTTGGGTTATGAGACCGACTCTCTGACCATTAGGCCACGACTTCCCCCCAACGACCCCAACCAACGACCCCAAACAAAATAGACTGGTATTGTATATACATTTTAAAATTATAATTTTAGGTGAGCTATCCCTTTAAATGCACCCAAACATGTGCACATAAGTGCATGTGTGAACGAAGTGACAGATGTCTGCTGAGAGTTCAGTTGTAATTCATCTCAATCAAACTGTCACATGCAGTTCCTCTGTCTTGGCCACACTATCACATGCCCCACAACACTCACACACTCCTTCCTGGCATTACTTTATGAGCAAGAGCTCTTCACAAACAGATGCACTCAATCCACAAGGAGCAGCAAGAGAAATCAGAATGATTAGAATCGCGTCTCCTCCTCATCTGCTGTCTAACCGCAGCAGCTGTGGCCATTAGAGTATACAGAGAGAGCAGATACACCAGCAACATCACAACCAGAGCCCACAGTCTCAATCCTGTTCCAGCAAACACAAACAAAAAGGGTGGAAATGCAACTTCTGGTTTGTCACAGGTAACCAGCCCTAATTCAGCCCTGAGGCCTGTGACACACTGTTTGTGTAGTAATAAAGCAAAAGTGACTTTCCCTAATGCTATTAACAGCCGTTTATCCATTAATCCTCTAGCTGAAGTAAGAATTACAGCGCTTACACACCCGACTGCAGCACTGCGATAATGTAAATCACAAGAAAATCTGACCAATCAAAAATGACAGAAAACAAAGAGCCACTGTCCATGTGATACAACATCATCTGGGTGGACCGTTTTGGACGAAGGAGGTCAATAATACCTGAAGTAAGTCATTTATCTTAAAAGGCAGACAACATAACTTATCTTAATGAAAACTTATCTTAAAAATTTAACTAATAGCTGGACAACCCATTACTCTAATGAATGTTTATATCCCCCTTATTCAGTATAATGAGCTAATTACAAAAAAATACAAAAAATAAATTAAGGACAAAGTGTACGGTACACGTTGGAACGCTAACAGGTTAAATTGATCAAATAAAATGAAATAAAAGATTTATTTTGTTTAGAACAAATAGAAACTGGTGATTTCAATGGTGATAAATACTTTTTAGGTCTAACAAAGCAAAACAAAAACACCAAAGCAAAACACAACAAAAAACAAAGCAAAACAAAAACCAAACTAAACAATTTCATTTCACCAGAACACAGTTAGAAAGATTTTTTTTTTTTGTTAGAACACATGGGAACTTTTGAATGTCAGTCAATGGAGAAAGATTTTTCATGTCTAAACGGTAGTTTTGGGAAGAATTGGCCTCTGCTAACCAACCAAAGTATTTGTAATACAGTGCAGTCCACTAGGGGGCAGTAAAAAAAAGTGCAGTCAAAAGGTTTTTCAGATCATGCCAAACATAAATTAAGTAAAATGAATCCAAACTTTTGACTGGTAGCATAAGTGCAGTTAAAATCGCAGCTTTAGCGCAGTAGCTTCATTAGGGACGAACTGCCAGAACGGTTCTGCCAGAGAGCTGTCAGACTGCCTGAAAGGTTTAAAATTTCTTTTAAAACAGATCTCATGTTATGCCAGGTCCCAGCACAGCATATTTTCCAACCAGCTGCTTGCTATGAGACAAGCATGAATTTAAGCTGAATTTTTGGCCTTGTTATATAAGCATCCAGCTCCTTTTTTTTTTTTTACGGCGTTTTGGGGACTGAAAACACATTTTTTTAAAACGGGTTTCAAAGTGGAAGTTTTTGAAAATGGCACCGTCGTTTCCGTGTAATCACCTAAAACGGGAATCTTTGAAAACGGTGATGTCATGCACGTGCGTAGTACGTGTTAGGTATGTAGACATGCGCAGTACGTGTCGATTTTAAAGGCAAGCACGAACAAACATACACAACAATGGCGGAGTATATGGTACGGTTGTTGCTGCTCAAGAGTTTGCTAACGCTTCTTCAGCAAAGTGTGGATTTACTTCACCAATATTACATCCAACAGTGGAGACGCATCATATACATCATATAATCTTCACTTCCCTACAGGTACTGTTCACTAACAAGGTGACAGCGCCAACTACTGGTATGGCATACGTAATACAGCGTTTTTGGCTGTTTTCACAGATATGTGTAAACGCGAATCGTTTTGAAAACGTTGTCGTGTATTTGTGAAACTTTTTAAAAACACAAGGGAAAACCTTTTCTGTTTTTGACTACACCGTTGTCATGTAAACGTAGCCTAAGTAATAGCAGCGACACTAATATGAAAAAGTAAAAAAAATTTAAGTAATTTACCGTTGTTTCAAACCTGTATGACTTACTTTCTTCTGTGGAACACAAAAGAAAATGTCTCAGTTTTGTTTGTCCATATAAGTAAAAGGGTTGCATGTTGTTCTAAATATCTTTTGTCTTCCACAGAAAGACATGAGGGTGAGTAAATGATGACAGGAATTTAGTTTTTTTTGGTTAAATGTCCCTTTAGCGATGTTTTCAAATGACAGCTAATGTTGAAAACAAGTTCAAGCAAGGTTACATTTGTTTGTTCAAAGTTTTGTTATTCATCATTCAAAACTTTAAAAGCCATATTGGTTTTTAACAACACAAGGGTGAGTGTACATGATGACAATTTTCATTTTTGGGTAAACCATCCCTTTATATTTTTGACAGCAGCTCAGCCGTCTCCACAATATCATAGTTTTTCCAGTCACTTTTTCCATAATTTAGCAGTGCAGCATTGCAAAATTTCACATATTTTTAAATAAAACACTGAATTGTGAATGAAACTTTACAGCCGAGCAAGTTTAGAAAAAAATCAAATGCTCTCCTGAACAGTCATGAACTTTTAGCATTGCTGAATCGGATTCATTCCTGTGATTCAGCTCATTCAGACAGTTCATTTAAATAAACTGAAAAATAATACTAAAACATAAAAAAATAAATAAATGACTGGATAATCTACACTGGTCAGTAAGCAAAACAGCGAAGTAAGCTCTAATAGCCCACAAAAAGACATTCAGGGGCCTAAAAATGAAATAACAACTGAAGGACAAATAGCGTGAGAAGTAACTGAGGCCAGAGAGATGTGATGATGAATTGGTATAATGCTGATATGAGTGCTTTGCTAAATGAACTCACAGGCACTTTGAAGGGTGAGGAGTTGGAGCCATCCATGGAATTGTTCTTCTCCGAGCTGCCCAGCCCTGATATGCTCCTCCGCCTGGGAGAGCGCTCCGCAGACGCTTCCGCTGTGAGAGAAGAGAGGAAAGCAGGGATTAGATCAGAGGAAGTCTTCAGAGAGACTGGGAGGATGTCTTTAAAAGTTTTAATAGGCACACTAATGATCAGAGAACTACAGATATTTAAAACATTGAGTTGGAAAGCTGTAACACAGGGGTAGTCGACTGTGGGAAAACTTCCAGGAAGAAGTTTGGCGTTATTGATGAATTACTGATACTGCAGACACTGGAATCTTTCTAAGTGGAATCAACATTTGTGCCAAACATTATAAATACTACTGTGGCTACACTAATTTAGAAATGATGGCTGACACATAATCAATAATTATTTCATTATGCTATAGCTTAGGTCTATATTATGAATACTTAAAGGCCAATCAGAACGCAACAGTGTAGTGGTGTATGTTCAACTGCATGGCAATTAAGTACTTCTATGCCAGCATTAGTTGCATTTTATTAGTTGCAATTATTACATTTTGCCTGTATTTATAGTTTCTATTTATAAATCATATATTAAGGTAATAATATATATGCAAGTTTGGGGTCAGTAACATATTTTGGAAAAACAAATATTCAGATTTTCATATAAATGCTTTTTTCAAATATTTCAAATAAACCCTCTATTTATCAAAGATGAAAAAATGATCACAGTACAGTTAACACAAATATGAAGCAGCACAACTTTCAACATTAATAATAAAAAAATAATGTTTCTTGAGCACCAAATCAGCATATCAGAATGATTTCCAAAGGATCATGTGACACCGAAGACTGGAGTAATGGCTGCTGAAAATTGCGTTTTGCCATCACAGGAATAAATTACTTTTTAAAATATAAAACAGTTACTTTAAATTGTAATGATATGTAGCCTTAGTGAACACAAGAGATTTCTTTTAAGTACCAATACAAAATCTTACAGACCCCAAACTTTTTTTTAATAAAATAATATCTGAAAATAAGATAAAGGATGCACAAGAACATTATTTTATGAGCATCCCTAATAATGAGGTTTCAAAGACAGGTGTGTCTTCTTTTGCTTCCACATTTCACCCATGATTGGTCCTCCTGACCAGTCTTAAATGTAGTCTGGGGTCTTATAAAGTCACCCGCCCTCTGTAACTCTATCTCTCCCTTAATGATGCCCAGCGGGTCACTAACAGAGAGCTCACGTCTTGCTAAAGTGCCAGTCAGACAGGTTTAAAAGAGTGAATTAACCCAAAGCTTTCAGTAAGTCATCTTAATAAAGCACTCTACCTGCCACCACCAGACTTTCAGATGGACGCCCTGTGGCTCTCATATAAAGCCACTCTCAGAAGCTAAGTGGAATATTACTCATTTTCCTTATATAGCCAAGTTTATTTTTAATTTCCTCAGACCGATTTATTCTACATTTGCAGGGAGCCCCGCAGCCGATGTGTGTCAAGGATGGAGCAGGACGTAACCTACATCCGCACAACCTCCCAGAGATCCACCCCTCGGGCCGTCCTCCTCACTGAAGTGTACATCACCCCATAATGAGTTAATTCACCCTGAGAAATAAAAACCCAGTCCATCACTGAGCACGAACTGCCGCAGAACTCCCACCTCTCAACGTCTGCACTGAATCAAGAAACACTGTTGAAATTGACCCAGAGGTCTTTGGCCAAGACATTGCTTCTGGTTTCAGCTTGCAGGCCTCAGTGGATCCATACAATAGAGATTGTGCCTGGTCTGTTGGAGAGCTGCCCACCGCTGCTCAAGATCAAACCCTCGGCTCACAATAAAGAGCTTAAAGACGTAGTTCCCCCAAAAATTCCAAACTTGTCTGACTTGCTTTCTAGTGTACGATACTGTTTTTATTCAAACAATGAAAGACAATGGGGTCCAAATAGAGGTGTGCGATATTGACAAAAAATAATATCTCTATATTTTCTGGGATTTTAGCGATGACGATAATTAGACGATATTTTGCTGAGTGTGTTATTGTGCTGGTACCTTAAGGACTGCCGAAGACAGCTGACTCATAATGTTTTTAATATTCTTCATATTCTGTGTGGTGGTCAGTTCATACTGATAGAAATTAATCTTTTCCAATAAGTTTAAACCGATTTTTACATTTTATGGGCATTTTTACCTTTATAAAGCCATTTTTTCTACAAGTGTCCATTATCTTTTGAGTCAAATTCTTACATTTAATCAGAGAATTAGAATAATAAGACATTTGGGCTGTTACCAAGCAAATGAAATCAACACAGAAGCTGCATCTGAAGTGGCATTTAGATGCATTTACACACATGTATTTTGTAGTGTATAAAATGATTTTATTCAGAAATGTCCTGTTTGTGATTTTTTATTTTATTTGTTAATTCATTATTTAAATTAATAGGTTTACAATCTAGGAAACAGGTGCAGTTAAATAGCCGTCAGTCACAAAATTTATAAAAAAATTAATAAAAATAGGCTAAACTTTGTGAGGACGACTGGCAACAGCTGGTCTTATATTCTTTAGACACCGCACACCAAACGACTTTGAACACCGACTAAAAACACTGACTGATCTCAAATGACATTCATAATCGGCCTGACAGTATGTGTTCCCGGCTTCACAGAATGAACCGGTCGGTTCGCACGTGGAACTGAAAGTCTTACCGTTACTTGTGGACTGATGGACGGCCTTCCTCCCTCGTCATTGCGAGTTTTTAAAAGTCTTTTTTTACAGAATTATGCATTGCTGCTGTTTCTCTAACATTTTATAACACAGCTGCAAATTACAGTCCACGCACGAATTTACATGCACGACACGCCCAAATCATCAGAGTGGGCAGGCCTGTGCCATTAGGCCCGTCCGCTGCCTACGCCCCTGGTCCAAAACAACACTGGACCCCTTTTAACTTTCATTCGATGGAGAATATTTCTCAATATATCTGTTTTACAAATGCAAGAAAGTTGTACATGTTTGGAACAAAATGAGGGTGAAGAAATGCTGCAAGAATATATGTTTATTTATATTTTGTATACACACACACACACACACACACACACACACCAAATCTCTCATCAAATGAACGGGACATTATAATGTCTCTTAAACAACACATCAGTCACGCCTTTGCATTTGGCCGCTCTCCAGAGGACCATTGATTAACGGCTAAATTTAGCAGTTCAACCTGTTTTGCAGCCCAGGAGCGGCCCAGTCAAGTTCTGTGCAGTCCATCTGACTTCCTAAGACCTCAAGATGCATAAAATACATCCGTTTTCTAAAATACACTCTTAAAAATTAAGGTTTTTATTGGCATTGATGGTTCCATGAAGAACCTTTAACATCCATGGAACTTTTTTCATTGCACAAAATGTTATTTACAAAAGGAAAATAGGCTCTTCAGATTATTAAAATACTCTTCAAACTAAGAAACAAATGATTCTTTTAAAAACTCTTCACATAAACAAATCTCTCATCAAATGAACGGGACATTATAATGTCTCTTAAACAACGCATCAGTCACGCCTTTGCATTTGGCCGCTCTCCAGAGGACCATTGATTAACGGCTAAATTTAGCAGTTCAACCTGTTTTGCAGCCCAGGAGCGGCCCAGTCAAGTTCTGTGCAGTCCATCTGACTTCCTAAGACCTCAAGATGCATAAAATACATCCGTTTTCTAAAATACACTCTTAAAAATTAAGGTTTTTATTGGCATTGATGGTTCCATGAAGAACCTTTAACATCCATGGAACTTTTTTCATTGCACAAAATGTTATTTACAAAAGGAAAATAGGCTCTTCAGATTATTAAAATACTCTTCAAACTAAGAAACAAATGATTCTTTTAAAAACTCTTCACATAAAGGTTCTTTGGGGAACAAAAATGGCTCTTCTACTGCATCGCTACCAAATATCCCCTTTTGGAACCTTCATTCGCATTACATTACATACAACAACTTCACGTTTTCTCCTCCACAGCCACAGCTGGGCTCTGTAGACTGCCTGTTGTATCATCGAGCCCCGCGGATCAAACTCTTCCATGCATCGCTCACACGCTTCGTGAAGTTGCTGCTTGTGCGAGGGCTCTGCAGTGCTGAACTTGACGAATTGCAGTGATCCCTATGACTAAGCACAGCGGTACTTATATTACAATTTTGACGCTAGCAACAAGATCATGGGTTCAATTTCCAGGGAATGCATGTTGTGATAAAACATACAGCTTGAATGCACTTTACATCACTTCGGATAAAAGCTAAATGCATAAATGAGAGTAAACTTAAACCAAGAGCAGCAAAACACCACCTCGTTTCACCTCTGAACATGCACGGACAACTTATCAAACAGGAAATGACCTACAACAATATAATCAACTCAACTTCAATCATTATTGATTTTTTAATGACCCTCCAAGTCTGAGAGCAAGACGATAACTTAATTTATTAAAGTTAATCGAATAAAACGCAGCTGAGAACGAGGAAAAGAGAGAGAGAGAGAGAGAGAGAGAGTGAAAGATACCTCTATCACAGCTGTTGCCCATCACCTGCTGAATAAATGGAGCTGGTCACCATTGGATTGGCTGAAGAGTGACCATCACCCTCGTCCAATGAGCTTGAGCGCTTTCCCTTTAATTGTCCATCACTCTGAGAGAGATTCCGCCGCATTGATAAACTGCAGTCTCTTCATTGTCCTGCCGTGGCTTGCTGCCACATCGTACCGTCTTCCTCTCTCTCCAGCGCTCTCCCTCAAAGACTGAAACGTCCTCTGCTAAACCTCTCTCTCCCGTCTCAGTCCATCCTCTTCTCTCTATCCGTATCTCTGGGCAGCAATCCTAGTCCTCACTTTATCAGCCTCTTCCCTTTCTCTTTTTTGGCACACCAGCGGAAGAGATTTTACCGCATTTACTCAATCAATTGCTGTAACCTCACTCCTCTGTTCCTCTCAGCAGAACTGCAAGCACTTCCCATCCCTCTCTCTCTCTCTTCGTTCGCTCACCCCCCCAGCGCATCTGGCTCCATCTGCCTGCTGCAGCCTTGCACATAAGAACAACGAAGA